ATTCTTGCAATTCCTGCAATTGATAGAGTAATTTCTTCCTTCAAGTTTTGGCTGATATTGTTTCGTATTGATTAAGTCATGGATTGTTTTAGATGTAGGTATGAAAAATTTATTGTTCAGTTTAGATAAATTATTTTCGGTTGTAGTTGTGATAGAGTTAGTGGGTAGAATAATATTTTTTGATTCGTTGCGTTTGTCAGGAAGGACAGCTCATCTAATTTGGAATATTTTATGAGTCTTTTGTTTCGCACTAAATATGAAATAGTTTGGCTATTGAAGAGTCTTGCAAATATTTTCTATATATTTCACCTCTTTGTGTAAATACTGAGGGCTGCAAATTCTGATTGCTCTTAGATAGAATCCAATGATCATTCCTGATTTTATTTTGTTGTTATGATGGGAATAGAAGTTTATGAGGTCATTTTTGTTCGTTGATTTTCAGTGGGCACTTGCTGTCATGATATCTAAGAAAGGTAAAGTATTATTTTCTTCCATTTCGTACGTAACTTGTATTGTAAGTTCGAATTTGTTTAGTTCATCTACATGTTCCGGTAAGTCACTATCATGGTGACATATTAATAGAGCATTATCAATATATTTGAAGTAAGTTGATTGTTTAGGTAAAATATTTTGGAAAGAATCAGACTCAAGAACTTCCAAGAAAATACATGCCATCACCCCACTGAGAGGCTTTAATTCAAATTTTTGTGTATATATATATATATATATATATATATATATATATATATATATTATATATATGTATATATATATATATATATGTTATATATATATATTATATATATATATATATATATATATATATATATATATATATATATATATATATATATATATATAGATATAGTTATAGTTATAGTTATATATAAATATATTATTTTTTAAATATATTATTTTTTAAGAGATTTTTTATGTTTATACGTTCTTTTTATAGATACAGAGCTTGCTAACCGAAACGCTCCTTCATGGCTAAATCGGTAAAGCACGTGAGACTTTATGACGGTTCCGTATAGGAGACAGATTCGATTCCTATCGGAGGACGAATATTTTCGATGAAAATTTCTCGGACATTCAGGCCGGTAAATGTCGTTGATACTGTTTATTATAAACAGAGCATTTACTTAAATATTTATATCTATAAATAAAACGTAAAAATGTATTTAAAAAATAATTGTCGGACTTTATTATATATATATATATATATATATATATATATATATATATATATATATATATATATATGTTTTACCAGTTTGTGACTGGGAGGATCATTCGAGGAGGATATAAATGCAGAAAGTGCCATCAATGTAGACTACAGAGCATTATGATGATGATATATATATATATATATATATATATATATATATATATATATATATATATATATGATAAAAATATATATATATATATATATATATAATATATATATATATATATATATATATATATATATATGATATATATATATATATATATATATATATATATATATATATTATAATTAGTTTTTTAAAAAAATGATTCCTTCGCTACATAAGAGTTCTCATGTTTCAAAAACGAGAGCCGAAACCATCAATATAATTATTAAAATTAAATTGAATTAAAGTAACAAGCCCTGTTTCATCCTCAAGCGAAAATTTAGGAATAACCAATTTTGAAGTTTACGTATCGTTATAAGCATGTTCATTCGTTACTATGGAAACGGCTGGGACGACCACTTTTGATAAGGGGCCTAAGAGTTAATTTTTATCCACATATCAGTCACCTTTATCTTTCATATCGTAAAAGCTTAAGATTTTTGCTGTAATAAAATGTGCTTTTTCTCAAAATTCTTGTCATCTTACAGTAATATTTGAAGTAAAATATAATATATACAGAATAGATTTTAATAAAAGCCTCTAAAAAGAACAAAGAAAAACGAAAAATTATAAATTCATACATTAAATAAATATAAATATATGTAGCACATTAAAGATAAAGAGTTTGAGGCCACGACATCTTCGGCTAAATGTCATTTCAGTTAAATGTCCGTTGGCCAATTGTCCGTCGGCCAAATGTCCGAGTACCGATTATATCATTATTTTCTCTTAACGAGATACGTATCCTATCCATTCGTGATGTTTCCACTGTTGAATTCCTATTATATCGTACAGTTCCTAGTGATTCTGTAACGCCAGCCCACAAAGATCGAAGTGTGGTCTGGCCAAAATATTCAGGCTTCTCATGGTCAAAGCCATTTTTAGCCGTTGATCTTAAAAAGCGGTTTTATGGCGGAACCGGGGATAAGCAATGGGCAGAACCCTGCTAAAGGCTACGAGGTATAGGAAGACGTGGAGAGACACGATCACCCATTTCCTGAAGAAATACGTGACATAGAAAAATTTTATTTATTTTTTTTTTTTTCAATTTTGCTCAATCATTGTTTGCTGCAAAGTACAATAAAAGCATTTATATTTTAAAATTTAAATATTTTTTGTTTTTTTTTAAATTTTACTTTCTTTTTAAATAAGGGTGCGACTGTTGAAATATGCCTTCCGGTGCGTTGTCACTTCCTTTCCAGCCGGTAACACCAGCTGTGTTTTCACAGGTGGTGCCCTGCAAATGTTCCTGTCACTGTTAGATTGAAACATAAAAAAATCTCACAAACGTCACTTGCGCAAGTTTTTTATATTACGTCTTATAACCGAAATCTCTCTTCCCTACTCTCTTCCTCACACTATCTCCTTCTCTCTCTCTCTCTCTCTCTCTCTCTCTCTCTCTCTGTATATATATATATATATATATATATCTTGCTTTCAATCTGTCCTGTGAGTATAAAATTTTCCAAGCCCTCTTTCCTCATTATGTGCCCTAGAAATTTCAACTGTCTCTTTCTGATGTTAAGTATAAGTGTCCGTTTTGTTTCCATTTTCTCTAAAACTTCGTCGTTGCTCACATGTTCGGTCCATATTATTCTCAGCATGCTTCTGTAGAGCCACGTTTCTGTTGCTTCAAGTCTCTTCTTCATATTCCACCCTTGGTCTTCTCTCTTCCCGATGTTAAGTATAAGTTTCCTTTTTGTTTCCATTTTCTCTAAAACTTCGTCGTTGCTCACATGTTTGGCCCATGGTATTCTCAGTATGCTTCTGTAGAACCACATTTCTGTTGTGACTAGTCTCTTCTTAATCTGGAAGGAGGTTGTCCAGTATTCGCTGCCGCGTATTTAATCGTTCTTTTCTTTTCTTTTCGGTTTCTTAATACGTTGCTTAGCTTTTGGAAAGCACCTTTCGCAATTCCAATACGCCATCCATTTACTGAGTCCCGTTAGGTAGGGTTATGCTCCGTTATCATCCATGCCTCAATCTGTCCTGAGAGTATCAACATTACCAAGCCGTCTTTCCTCATTATGTGTCCAAGACATTTCAACACTCTCTTCCTGAGTTTAAGTATACGTGTTCTTTTTGCTTCCACTTTTTTTTTAAACTTCGTCGTTGCTTACATGTTTGTTCCATGGTGTTCCCAGCGTCGTTTTGTAAAAACACCTTTCTGTTGCACTGAGTCGCTTCTTCATCTGTGATTAGATTGTCTGGCATTCACTGATTTCAAACTTCACTATTTCTATTCTCTATACTGATCACTATAGGGATTACTAGTCTGATCACTATTCGCTGGTTACTATTCGAGCTAGTATTATCGACCAAGTACTATTAGTGCGAGTGCTATTCGAAGGCGTCTGACACCAGTATTGCTCAACGGCGTTACTATAGTTGTATCTGCGATTAGAAAAATCTCTACTACAATGTCTTGAGAATGTCTAATGACAGGATACACAAGATCCTAAGAATATAGGACGCCCATGGCTTAGATGCAACATCTCAGCTGTCAGTATACCTCAAAACAACCTCAAGAGCTTAGCCTTAGAGCGGGTAGAATTGAGATCAACGTGTTTTAGTGGACTCGGCAGTTTTCAATCATCTTGTCTGAATCAGCTTCAAGAAGCGGGAGCAATATCTAAAAGGTCAGCCAATCTAACAGTGATCTCATCCCACAATCCTTACTCTTGCTCCATATGTGGCCTTCTTTTGTAAATCACTAGCGGGTCTTAAGTGCCGCTTAATATTATCGCATAAAATTTCATAACTGAATTAAGCTGTGAGATCCTCATACGTCGAAACCGACGGGAGAGTCCATTATATATATATATATATATATATATATATATATATATATATATATATATATATATATATATATAACATCATTTATACGTTATTCTACTTTCGTAATTGAATACATGGTAGATGATACTCAGCTTTTGTGCATATATATATTTGTGTAGAGATAATTCCTAGAGGCGCTTATTTGTGTGTTTTATATTGTATTTTTGATGAAGTTATATTTTGGAATACAGAGCGAATTAGGATTATAGTGTATTATATGGATTAATGTCATGAAAGATGTATTTTCTGTTATTTGGTTGATTTTGGTTCGCAGATATTAACCTCTACGGGTTATTTAATGCCGAAATATAAATATTTTAATGTAGTTATATGCCTTCTGTTACACATGAAATTGTGTTTTAGGTCATTTTACTATAAATAAGTACAGTTGGTATTTTTTTTTATTTTAGAAAATGTATTTTTATGCTTTCATACTGTTTTGCTTTGGTTTGTCGTTCGCTATTTGTTCAAAGCTGTGACCCTACCAGCTGCTGCCACCTCAGGCCATTCTTCAGTGATGTGTGGCAAAAGTTTTGCTCGCTTGAAAAATGGGTGGGTTCAAACAAAAGGTGGTATGTCCTAAGTTGTTTAACACATCTAAAAACCAGGAAATAAACGGTGAAATTCACAACTCCTGTCTTATATCATCTTCTGATGGCTTCAGTGAACAACAAAACAAAAGGAATTGGTCTTGTCGTTTCAATACTTTTGGAGAGGACTGTATATATATATATATATATATATATATATATATAGAGAGAGAGAGAGAGAGAGAGAGACAGAGACAGAGAGGGAGAGGGGGAAAGATAGATAGATAGATAGATAGATAGATAGATATGCATCCGTGCGTGAGATCATTTTTGTGTTTAGGAGATCATTGTGAATTTTTTTCTATATACTATATTTTCTATATATCAATATACGCGTGCGTGTGTAACGGTCATACTTTCGAAGTACTTTACGAATATATTTGTCTATGCGTGTGGGCTGTGCCTGTCTGTGTGTGTGTATGACAGAGATAGCGTGTCTGATTGTTACCATCTAAATATATATATGCAAACCTTTTTTACTTACAACACGTAAGTCTCCAATATAAAAAATATATATACGGTATTTATTATCTCATCAATAAATACATACAAATATATATATATATATATATATATATATATATATATATGAATCTGTGCATGTGTGTGTGTGTGTATGTTAGTGTCATATTTCCTATTTTTTCCGTGTCTGCTTTCAAGGCATGGTTGTGGGTATATTTTTGGCAAAATCCGCCTCAGCTAATTCCCCATGATTCATGTGGAACGACCAAAAATCCTTTGCAACTTTACAAATAAGAATAAGAATAAAAGCAATAATATTAATAATAAAATATTTCCCTTTCAATGCATTGGTTTTTTTCTAAGTAAGCGGTCTAATATTCTGAGTATATCTTTTCGTTTTTGCTGTTCTTTTTTATTGCCATAATTCAGTGGGTTACATGCTCTGCACAATTCGAAAATTGTAGGCATTATTGATGCTGCATACGAATTCCATTTATTATTATTATTATTATTATTATTAGTTACCTCTCATTAATTTACATGTTCACACAAGACTTTTAATAGATGTCGCTGAGTGATAGTAAGTCTTCTTAAGCATCTAGTACCTTACTCATTATAAGTGCAGACCCCACAATGATGTAGACAGTCAGTCAGTTATGTGTCATGCGTGATACACGCTTAGGTTATTACGTATCTTTCGATACATGACTGAAGAGGCGGAAAGAAATAGCAACCAACTGCGGGAAAAAAAACCTGCCTCGTCAGTCATGTATCGACGAAAGTTACATAATGCGATAGACCAGTTGCCATCCAAGGCTATAGAACCCGGTCTGTCCTACTAGTTACCTATAGCTGGGTGGGGGAGAAGAAGAGTATTCATACTTTTCCCACGGGTATTATCTCGTAAGTGATTGTAATGGATTCGACTGGAATTCGAACTCGGCTCTCCGATTTCTCAATCCGAGCCTCTATCCACTACTCCACCGTATTTTTTCTTTCTCGTTCACCCAATCTTCATTCTAGCGTTTTAGATACATTTTCAAGAGTATCAATTATTATTACATTTCTAATTTTTTTTTTTTTTTCGTTTTTTTTTTTTTCGTCAAGTGACACAAGTGGAAGGATCATTTTTGAATATACTTTTGGATGCCTCCAGTTGGTATGGCATCCCCAAACTTTAAGTGACATCCCAAGCGCCAATCACCACTGGGATCAGAGATGACATTTTCCATTACAAACAAATATCTATTTTACAGGTGTTTGCTATATCTGTCATTTGATATGGCAAACTCAATATTACGACATTTTAAACAATAATTTTTTCGATGTTCTATCATTGTCTGGAAATCAGTGTTGAATAATATGGCTTTCTAAAATCCCTCCAACGGATATGTGCTAAAATTTTTGCAATGGGATTGATTCAATGTACATAGATGGCGCCAATCACCTCACTTTTGTGGGTAGCATGATGCAGCCTCTGAACAGATGGATCACATTCTGAGAGGGATCAACATAAAGCCTACATTGTGGAGTGATTGATATTTTGTGTATATATATGTCATTGGTATAATGTCGTTTTTTGACGCATTTTTAACGTCAAAAACGACCATTATCATTATTTTGCACCAACTCTACTACTATATGTCATTGGTACCAGGAGCCTTTCCCTTGTGGTGCAATTATGATTATTATTTTTATTATTATTATTATTATTATTATTATTATTATTATTATTGTTGTTGTTGTTGTAAAACACGCGAGTGTTCCATTAATCACTGGTACTGTAATTGCTTTGTTTACTAGTTCACTTTATATTTTCGAAAATATTGCTTTAAATAACTATAGTTATTGATTTCCTTTTTTCTTTGCTTTCAATTCTCATGTCAAAAGGACAGGGTACGTCGATCAGATAACAATATGTTTTTCTATTACTCTATTATTATTATTATTATTATTGTTTGATTAGATTTCTGGTGTATACATTTATTTCCGGGTCCCAACCAGAGACCAAAGTTCTGAAAAGGCATCATGACATTTTCCACTGGGCATTTTTTAGAGAAAAAAACTAACATCACACATATTTTACATAGATAAATCCCTTTGTAACGTTTGGGCTGTAATTGTGACTACAGTTTTTTTTTATTTCTTTAAAAAGAAATGGGGTACTAGGAATTTCTTCAATGAGTCTGTTGGAATATTTTCTAATCAATTGGAGAGCTCCAACTACAATTGATGTTGTTGATATCGTCATGTGCCCCGTTTTTGAGATTTCGATAGTTTTTTGAAGATACACTACAGTCTGCAGAGACTCTCATGTCAATAAGAAGGCTATTATTAATATTGTTTGCGTGTTATGTTTTCTACTTTATACCCTGTAGAGCCGTGTCCAAACTATAGTCTTTAAACCCTATAGGTGAACTGACATTTAATTGATAGCACTTTTCTTAGTATATATGATGTTCCAAGTAGGGCGATCTTCTGGCAACTTGTATGTTGATGTTACCTGTTAGTAAAAATGTCCAACCCTTTTCTCACGAGGCCCAGAACTATTATTATTATTATTGTTGTGTTATGATTCCTGCTTTGTATATTGCAAAGCCGGGACCAAACTATGGTCTTTAGGTCCTATAGGAGAATTGTCATTTATTTGATAGGACTTTTCTTAGTATATGGGATGTTCCTAGTAGGGTGATCTTCTGGGCAACTTGTATGTTGATGTTATCTGGGACACTGTTAGTAAAAATATCCAATCCTTTTCTCACGAGACCCAGAGCTATTATTATTATTATTATAATTATTATTGTTGTTGTTATTGTTATTGTTGTTGTTGTGTTATATTTCCTGCTTTGTATCCTGTAGAGCCGGGTTCAAAGAATAGTCTTTACGTCCTATAGGAGAATTGCCCTTTAATTGATAGCACTTTTCATTCTATATGGGAGTGCGATTTTCTGGATAACTTGTATGTTGATGTTACCTGGGGTACTGTTAGTATAACTATCTATTCCTTTTGTCACGAGGTCCAGGTTTCCGATTACTATTGGTACAGTCTCAGTCTTCATTCCCCACATCATGTTAATCTCGATCTCTAGGACCTTGCATTTGGACAATTTCACGATAATATTGGAGCTGTTTCTCGCAGATTATTATTATTTACGTTGATTTCTGTTGTGTATTCATTTCCTCGCGGGTCCTAACCAGAGACCTAAGGTCAGAAATGGCATGAATACATTTTTCACTGCACATGTGTATACATATATTATATAAATAAAACTCTTCGTAGAAGTTGTGACTCGCGTTTGCGAAGACAGTTTTTTTTTTATTTCTTTAAGTCATGTGCTGCCATTGAACACGTTACTGAATCTATCAGATAAGTTTTTTCAATCAAACCCAGCGCCCCAAAATGAAATGAAATTATTGATGTATTCATGTGTCATGTTACTGAAATTTCCACTTCAAGGTCCTTGTTCTTTACTCGCCGTTTTAAAGATCTTCAATGCTTTACAGTTTACCATGGCAAAATAAGAAGTTCTGTCATTCTGTTCTTGTGATCTTTGATCACGATGCTTAGCTTTGATCTTTGCTCACGGCGATTAGCTTTGATCTTTGCTCACGGCGGCGATTCACGGCGATTTTTGATCTTTGATCACGGCGTTTAGATCTGATCTTTGATCACGGCGGTTTACCTTTGATTTTTGATCACAATGGTTACTTTTGATGATTGATCACGGCGATTAGCTTTGATCTTTGCTCACGGCGATTAGCTTTGATCTTTGCTCACGGCGATTAGCTTTGATCTTTGATCACGGCGTTTAGATCTGATCTTTGATCACGGCGGTTTACCTTTGATTTTTGATCACGATGGTTACTTTTGATGATTGATCACGGCGATTATCTTTGATCTTTGATCACGGCGGTTAGATCTGATCTTTGATCACGGCGGTTTACCTTTGATTTTTGATCACGATGGTTACTTTTGATGATTGATCACGGCGATTATTTGATCTTTGATCACGGCGGTTAGATCTGATCTTTGATCACGGCGGTTTACCTTTGATTTTTTGATCACGATGGTTACTTTTGATGATTGATCACGGCGATTATCTTTGATCTTTGATCACGGCGGTTAGATCTGATCTTTGATCACGGCGGTTTACCTTTGATTTTTGATCACGATGGTTAGTTTTGATGATTGATCACGGCGGTTAGATCTGATCTTTGATCACGGCGGTTTACCTTTGATTTTTGATCACGATGGTTAGTTTTGATGATTGATCACGGCGATTATCTTTGATCTTTGATCACGGCGGTTAGATCTGATCTTTGATCACGGCGGTTAGATCTGATCTTTGATCACGGCGGTTTACCTTTGATTTTTGATCACGATGGTTAGTTTTGATGATTGATCACGGCGATTATCTTTGATCGTTGATCACGGCGGTTAGATCTGATCTTTGATCACGGCGGTTTACCTTTGATTTTTGATCACGATGGTTAGCTTTGATCTTTGATCACGGCGATTAGCTTTGATCATTGATCACAGTGATCAGCTTTGTACTTTGATCACGATGGTTAGCTTTGATCTTTGATTACGGCGATTGGATTTGATCTTTGACCACTGCGGTTAGATTTGATCTTTGATCACGATGGTTAGCTTTGATCTTTGATCACGGCGATTAGCTTTGATCTTTGATCACGGCGGTTAGCTTTGATCTTTGATCACGATGGTTAGCCTTGATCTTTGATCACGGCGGTTAGCTTTGATCCTTGATCACGGCGGTTTACCATTGATTTTTGATCACGATGGTT